ACATAGCAAAAACTAATCTGATTTCAGAAGTTTCAAATTTGTCAACAAGACAGGTTTCACTACAGGAACGCATGCCTGCCCGTGCAGGGTGCATGTGCATACATGACGTGTACACACGGCAGGTTCCCTGTTTTTAATAACGTTGTTGGGATACAACTATGAAGACAGACACATCTGTCCCACACACAATTTATGATATTGTAGCTATAAAGCATTAATGCTTTCCTTTATAAATCAAAATAATCCAACAGTGACAGCTGAGTCTCTAAAGTTTTTGCTCAAACTGCAAAGTTAGGGAAGACTCAGGCCATAAAGACACAGGCCACTAACTTGCCATTTGACACATGTCACTCATTATGCTTGTAACTACAAGAATATCTGTCTGAGTAGGTGACTGCACCTGAAAAATGGGCAGCAGTATTTGCAAAAAGCACCCATTAGATAACTGACACAGCTATAGCTGTTGTTCAGGTGAGTTTTTGGACTCAGGTGGTACTTCAGAGTCACACAAAAGAGCTAACTTTATCAAATGAAATTCCACTGCTTATCTCCTTAAATGCTTTTAAAGCTTCACAGCAGTTGCCATTTTAACAATGATCTTAAACAGAACCTGTATGAGGTATGAAATGTGAATATATATCTTCACTATTTACTGAACTGAAGCTATTGTTAAATGCCAAAAACGTTTAAATGTTTAGTCAAGTTTTGTACAATGCATCTGTCAATATATCTATGACTGCTCCCCTTTTTTTTTTTTTTTTTCTTTTAAGTTGAAGGTCAGAATAACCAAAGTAAGTACCAATTCCGAATCTTTAAAGGGAATTAGTATTGTCTCTTGGATTGCTAACAAATGCTACCTGTAAAATTTGCTTCTGTGCTGCAATAACACAATAGGAACAGTTCCTGTGCCACCTCCTTTATTTGATGGTTATTTTCCTTGTTGAACATACCCATCCCACTTTCAGCACTGACTGTGTAGTACTCATTTTTGTAATAGGAATATTATTGTGTAATATGGTCTTACTTTTTTTTATAATTCCCCATCTATTTGAATGCCTTATACTTCAGATGCAAGCTTTTCAAGAAAATGCCTGCCTTTTCTTTTTTTCTTTTTTATGGTGCCCTGACGTTGAGGCAGTACTTGGAACCCTTGGGGTAAATATAAAAGCTAGCAGATAACCACACATTTGCTAAATTTATATAGTTACAGTTTCACATGAACTGGGATAGATTCAGGTCAAAGTATGTTTATAGTATTTTGAAAGCCTTTTACCACTGCATATACCCACTTTTTAAAATTAAGGGCTCTTTTCATGTAATAATTAAGAAAAAAATGCTTTATTTGAAAAAATACAGTCCATGTACTTAACAGACTGCAATAAAATATAAGGCTTTTGTTGCATTCAGAACTTACTTCATGCAGGCAGTCACCACAGACATTTTACATCTGAAATAGTGGAAAACAATATATTTACAAGCTTAAATCACATAACGGTGCATTGGTAGGTGCAGGGAAAAGACCCGCTCATAGGAAGATTGTTTTAAATTTCAGGAACTCCTTAGCAGGTGATCCCAAGACCTTTATCAACCCAGAAAGCAGAAGTACGTGGTCTGCAACTCCACTTCGGACCACCAGATAGAGCCATTACCCCAGTCTCTGCAACCCAGAAAGCCTAGTCCGGGCAGAAGCCCCAGAGCCACCACAGCTTTGGGACTACAGCTTTCATGACTTAATGGATGAGAAACCTCGCTATAAAAGGGCGGTACTGGTATATACTATTGAAAATAAGATAATAAAACCAAGGTTTAAAACTGCAACTTAAGAAAGACAGCATAAGGTTTAACAAAGTTTTATTCTGTTTTGATACGTTTATCACACACAGCAAGCAACCCTGAAACTTAGCTGAGGTGCACACAGCCTTTTTGCAATGAAGTAGCACTTTATGCTTGCCCTATTCTTATATTTCTCCCCAGGCATCTGTTCCTCATGGAATACTGCACAGCACTGAGGCAAGCATCAGAAACCACTGCTACCTTAAGTTGAGATGCAATGCTTGCTTTGTTTAATTTTCCTCTCCAAGAGAGAGGGACAAGATGGGGCAAGGTGGCTTTTTCTCCTCAGCTATGATTTAATGCAATTAGTGGGTTACCAACTACCCGTGTGCAATACAGTGCATGGGGTAAATGTCATTGCCTCCACACACACCTTCAGACTGCAGAGGACTGATATTGAGGCATGACTTGAGATAACAAGGAATAGCCATGAGGGGAAATAAATCTCCTATTTGCAACTCGTTCATATATGATTACAAATTTAGAGATGAACAAGCCACGTTCAGAGTAACTTTTCAAAGCACAGCTCAACTGAACTTAAATCCTTATTTTTTAGAATATACTTCTGGCTTAGTAAAGTGCATAGAAATATATACCACTATATATTCATTAAGATGCCACACCATGTAGTAAATAAAGTGATACTCACTACTTTGTCATCATTACACCTACTGTCCAAGATGTCACCAATTAGATATTACCTATCACAAATAAACCTTAATATTGTCCATCCCGCAAGTAAAGACTGGACAGTCCATGTACCTCATGTTTCCTTTTCCTAACTTTTAAATACGTTGCTGTGCTGCTGTTTTCCATAACTGCTTGGATGACAGCAAAATTTTAAGATGCTATAAGGCATAAAAATAACCACAAGATCAAAACTCATTGTTTCATTATGATGAATATAAAACAACGAGTGCCCATTCTGCATTCACTTCATGTTTGAAATATAGAACTTAATGAAAAAGACTGTATACTGAGGTATATAATTTTTGCAATTCATTTCACAGACATGGTTTCTTTAAAATGAAACACACATTTCAAGGTGATTGAGAAATGTCCTCTGCACAGTGCTACTTCACACAGGAAAATGCCAAGCCAAACACATTCTTATGAAGAACAACAATTTATTCTTATGAACAACATTCCTATGAACAACAATTCATTCTTACGAAAAACAACACTTAACTTCACAAGCTCACATCTGCGTGCCTTTTGGAAGAGCCAAGAATTTGATCAGCAAACCTGGAAGCTGATAGTATCATTTCCAGTTAAGAATTTCCCTTAATCTAAAGAAGTGAATTAATTTTAAAAGTACTTAGATCTACTTTCCCTAAAGGTCTTCTAAAGCTCTTACATAAACTCTACATGCTTTGCTTACAGTCAAACAGGTCAGAATATTTTCCACTTCTACCTTCAATAGCCATGCAGCTTATAGAGTCAAAATAACATTTCCTTTCCTTCCTCTTCCCTCTTTGAACTCAGAATTGAATTATTTTGTTATATAGTTTCCAACAAGTTGCTATTTGACTGGAGAATAATCCCAAAAGATTCTCAAACTCTCGCATACAAACTTAGAAAAAGAAACTGGAATTATGTAAGGAACTTAGTTGTAACAACACTATTTTTTATATAACTGAGATTTTTCCAAGCATAGCCATTGTTTTCTTTCAGTACTTTGCTCCATCCTTCGCTCTACTTTCTTTCATTGATCTTCTGATGAATGCCATCCTTGGGTTTGGGCTGTTGTTTTTTTCCCATTATTATGATCTGTTCCTTCCTCTTTCTCATATTGTTCTTGCTCCTTTGCTCTGAGCACAAACTTATGTTCTTTCAATCATGTAACTCCCCATGCTATGACGCATTTCTTCCACATGCTCATTTCTCCTTTTCCATAGTGTTCAGTTGTGAACTCTTCTATTCCCTATTGCCTGGGAATATGGAAGTACCAATCCCCCCATCTGCCTAAACTGAGAATCAGATCAGCCACAAATATATGCTAACAGTAAATTCTCCCACATCTGAGAATATTAACAGCGTTCACTACTGGTCCAGAAATTGCTCTCTTGGAATCCACTGTTTAGCCAGCAGGGCCATATGCACTTCCTACAGGGGAACAGCGTGAGATTGTCTCAAAATTTTGATGCAAGTCTTTTATCCTAATATTCCTCAAACTTTAAAAAACTGCAACCATCTTCTAATTAATACATTTTTGTGTGACTCCTCAACTTGGCAGAAGGACAGAGGAGTGACTGTCAGCTGGATTTCCTGGCTGCAGGTATAAACATTGACTCCCTTCCCCTGAAGGAATAAACTGCTGCCAGCAACCTGAGAAAATTCACTGTTCTCCAGTGAATGGAAAATACTGCCACTAGTTATTTATTTCTCTCTACCCTGGAGGAACTGAGCTGCTGCCAATTAACACAGCATTTTCTTACACTTTGCAATCCCTTTGAACTTTTCAGGATTTTAGAGGAAACAGTTTTGTCTCTATGTAAATCTATTCAATGCAAATCCTAGTCACAAAAAAGGACTGATAACTGTAGCAGAAGCCCCTAGACAAGGGAATCTTGTTAGTTTGCATCTGTAACTTGAAAAATGTAGTATTTATAAGCGATTTGTACAAAAGTCAAGAAGAATCTAAGTGCAATGGAAAAGAAATCACAGAGATTAAGAAATGAAGTACACGTGAGATAAACTACATTCAAAAACCCCATGGATTGGAGAATATATTGCTTTTCATTTTATTTCCCACATTACTACAAGCTGTCTTAAAAGAACTATTATTTTCTACTCACAGTATACTTACATTATAATTTAAGTATTAATTCTGATGTTCCACCAGTCATTCCTTGATAAATATGATTAAAAGCTGCCTATTTTGCCTACAGCATTAACACTCAAAATGTTTAATGGCACAGAAACAATCCAGATCCAGGGTAAAGGGAAAGAAGGCTAGTAACTTGGATACTGGAATGAGACCGAGACAAAAACAAAAGCTTCTCCTCCCCAGTTTGGTTTTTATCTGCACACAAATACCGCCAGATAGATGCAGAACTCATCTCTTGCAATAGTCAAAAATACCATCTCAGCTGCCCAAATAACTGCATCATGTATTTTAAAAATTCTCATAGATGCCTCCTTTATGTAATATGTTAAAAACTCACAAAATCAGCTTCAAGTTTTCCCATTTCTTGTTTGTAGCTTCTCATCCTACTGCTGTACATTCCTCGGCTTTGAGGTGGGATCTCTCGAACTTCAAGTTCCATCTGCTCAAGCTAGCAAGTAAAAATAAAAAAGAGACATGTCAATCAAACGGGTAATTAAAGCAAGGATGAATTTATCTAAATTGTTTACAAATACTGAGAAACATTCCTTCTTTACCAAGAAAAATGTTGACTATTCTGCAATATACAAACAAATTACCAAAATCTTCACACAGCCTTAAGTCAACAAGCAAGTGACAAAGTTAATATTAATGCTTAGAAGGAATGATTCTAGTCAAACATTTCTGAATTTCAATTCCAAATGTGATGAATACATTTTATTACAGGAAAATAGTAAAACTGAGGTTAAATAACTTCCTGCAAATGAGCATAGTTCAGAAAAAAATTTATCTCCTTCCAGATGCGTGGTTTTGAAAACCCTTGGCTGAAAAAGGTATTTTATTTATTTTTATACACATACAAAAGTGTGTGTGTATATATACATATATATACATATACATGTGTCTGCGCATACATGTTTAAAGTTTTATTTACCACCAGGCTCTTTTTAATAAAATAATTCTTGGTCATTTAAATACTGCTTACTCATCAGTATTACAAAGCCTGAACTGACTGCCTAACTCTACATCCCCGATCTGTGTGTAGTTATATTTAATAGCTTAATTTCAGGGTTTAATGACAATACTATTCAAGAACTTGTATACAGTTGAATGCATTAAAACATCAGAGCTAGAACATATCTCTCAAAAGCTTTTTCTATTTATTCTTGCCATGTAGAATACTAAGGGGCCTGAAATGCAAGAATATGGCACAGAGGTACAGAAAATCAAAAATAATTATAAACCAGGGCTAAGCTGCCTGCTAATTACCTGCCCATTGGATCATGGAGCCTGCTCTACATGGTGCTGTCTCTTCAGGAATTCTGTTCTGCACAGCTGAAGGTTCCCTTACCTGCCTTTTAAAATCTTTCCAACTTAGTTAAAAAAGATAAAAGAATACCTCTCCTTGGTTGCTGTAAGCACCTGAAACAATATATACTCACCTCCTACTGATCTCAGTTGAGCAATATGGCATTGGAACATAAATGCCTTTCAATTAGGGTCCCAAGCTACTAGTTACAGGTCTTCATAAGGGACAGATACAGTTTACTGCTATGTAATCGCTTGCTTACACTTTGAAATTTCATTGTCATATCGTAAGAAAAGCATGTGAATTTAATCAGTGGAATTACCAGATACTCAAAAGTCATCCCGCCTGATCTATTCTGATTATACAAAATGATATTCAATAATAAACTGTAAAGCAGATTTTAATTAAATAGTCAGTAATGAACTGAAACATGCAAATTGCTTTCTAATTCTAACCAGTTCTTTGGCTCAGGCTTAACTTTCCAAAGGGGTATTATAAATTAAATCGATAGCGGAATTAATGGCTTATTTCTTATCAATTTCATCTCAATATATTTGATCTCAAATGTTCTATAAACACAGAAAACATTCTTCTTATATTTATATAATTATATGTGCAAGGTCAGGATATTTTAATGAAGTCTCAATTCTTATCTATTATATAAAAACGAAACCATCTCACAGTGAATACAGAATTTGCAGAAAGGATCAGACCACAGTCCTATAAATCCAAAAATGCTCATTCTAAGCAGTCAGTATCACAGAGTGTAAGGTCCAAGGAGCAATGATGAAGCATGCATATTTAAGCTGACCAACATTTAACAGGTTGGGTTTTTTTCATCATGAGATTAAACTGGTACACTTTGTGGCTGGACTGATAAATTTCCATGCAAAGTCATGCAGTAGATAGTGGTCCAAGCAGGTGTGAACCTAAATGCAACCTAATTTCATGCATCTTCACTTTCAAGCCTCATGTTATTGGTCATATAATCATATATTTCATACACAAGAAAGAACAGAGCTAAATTCCACTTAAAGATAAAAATAACCTGGCATTTGAATCTCAAAACTTCTGTAGAAGCTCGAGTCTTCTTTAGAAAACCTACAAGCTCAAACTTCTGTTATTGCTTGTGTTCGAACATGCCACCATTGTGACGAAGCTGAGCATTTTGGTCCAGATTCATAAGCCAGTCCCCATCCTTAAGGCTTCTGATGGTTTTAACCTAAAAGATTTGCTCCTAACAGACGGTTCACTCCCAGCACCGAATACAGCATAAAGCAGAACACCACTGGTATTTCCATTCAGAAATACAACAAAGTAAGGCAGTGCTGCTGATGTTGTCCACTGAGACCCCAAAAGAAGTCTCCCTTCCTGCAGGAACTTTTCCACATGAAATCGCTCTGGATAATTGCTATCATTTTATGAAATTTGTAAGCTTCACTATTTTATTCTGATTCTAAAGTCCTGGAACTAAGATAGAGATCTATACTAAAAACCACAACTGTCTAAATAAGAATAGCCTGGCCTTTGCAACACTAAATTTAATGCGCATTATTAAAAAGCCAAGTGTCAAGACAAGAATAATTTAGCATTTGCAGCACAACAATTTTGTGGTGCGTCCCTCATAAAACATAAAGGCAAATAGCACACAGGCATCTTTTTCTTCTTAAAAGAAAAATTTTAATCAAAAATGTTAATTCCAGCTCTTCTAGCACATGCTAGATTTTATACTCAAAGAATTTCCCTAAGGTTATCACAACATTCACCTTGCTTAAAAACCTGGTAAAAACATTCAGATATTCCACACTGGGTGCAGAAGGACAGGATTTCTCTCCAGAGATCTCTTACTCAACAGCTCTGGCTTGAAAAGACAGCTGGGAGTCTGAAAGTTTTGGTGTCAGTTTTGCATATAGACAAATCAATTACACCAGTGATTTTACTCAAACAGAACAGACTGTTTAAAAACAATCAATGGTTAGTCAATGTAAATAAATTATCTCTACAATAATATTTATAATACATGACAGTGTTATTTCCTAGCCAAGTAGGAAATAAAAACAAAATCAGCTAAACCCAGCTTTGACTAGTCAAGACAATGAAGCAAAACAATGTACGAAAACTATCAATAGCAAGGAATTAAGTTTATTTTTATTTTCTACTGTAGTTTTAGTTTAAAAGAGGATCTTTTTAATCAGTTCTGTTACTAGTAGGTTTGTTCAAATTGATTTTTAAACCCAAGCCTTGACATTAATCACAAACATGTTAGGTAATTGCTTTAAGCCAATAATTGAATTAAGCACCTGTCTAGCAGCATTAGCAATAAGATCTAAAACAAAAGCGTGAAAGAAAAGCCAGTACATTAAATGAAGATCATCATTGGGATAGAAGTACAGATACAGGATTTACTTTTTAATCTTATAATAAATACAAATTTAGATTATCTTTTTCTGACATAAGGAGAGAAGTAATAAGCTATTAACTCAAATTTCTGCTCCTTCCAATCTTACTTTGAGTAGAAAACCAAACTTGAATGATTCTTCTTCAGACCACCCATGCTACAGTTTCCATCTACTGCTTTTTTCTATGTCAAATTGTAGTGAAAAGAAGATGAAAAACATTTCTATTTTTTTACTTTTTTTCAGCTGTTTGAATATGGAAGTGCTCAAAAGGCCTTAATATATCTTCAGAACATCCTCATGAGATTGGACAGTAATTTTACCATGTCTCTCACTGAGAATACTAAATCAGAGAGGTGAGGCACCTTGCCGTCCTCACAGGGTAAACCTGCAGGGAGTCATCCCAAAATCCGGCTCTCCCGAATGTTATCCCAATGCTCCAGTCTACAAGATCAATTCATTTCTTAAACTAGAAGCACAGGGTATGGCAACAAACATTCTAGAGACCTTTTTCTTCCCATGCCACTTAAAAAAGTGAATTTCAATATTACTGTTTAGTTAGAAACCAAACCATTGATTCAAGTTGCTCAATCATAAGAACTTTCAGCAAGAACTAATTTCCTTTACCTATCCTAAGGGTCAGATTCTATCTCTGACACTAGATAGACCAAACGCATTCACAAGCAATAACCAAGAGCATCTTCAGGCAAGGAAATGTCAGCCATGTGGGAAAAAGTCAATCTCAACTGTCACTAACACCTTTGCTCAGTTACTCCATATCTACAAAACTTTACTTTTATATTCCGTCCAGATGGAGGACATGGCAGGCTGTAATGAGAACAAAATAAATATTAAAAAGTCACAGTTGCTTAACACATATTGCTTTCTTCTACCAGTGTGGACCACTAACTAATGCTTGGTTAACATATATACTCTTCTCAGATCAGTAACCCACACTACCATTATCTCCTTGACCTCGAACAACCAAGTATCTTTATACCTCACTTGTTAAAAGAGAAGAAAATATCTACTGCTCTACAGGACAATGAGACAGATTAAATCAAATAGACACATGGGTCTACAAGACAAAAAACCCAAAAAACAAAAGGAAAAAAAACCCAAATAAATGCTCCAAGTGGGTAAATATTTAATTAATTCCCTGAAGTAAGAGACATAATCCACAACTCAAAGCAGCCTGTAACAGTTTACAGCAATAATGCAAACATTAAATCACTTAACACAAGATTAAAAATGGATACACTCCTCTTGGGTATTTCATATTCTCAAATAAGAACTATTTCAAAAATATTATTACATTTTCTAATTTAGTTATTGTTAAGTATTTTTAGGACATCATCTGTGATAAATGTTACCCCTAATGATCCTATTATTTTCCCTGGGAATTTGCAGTTTACATGAAAAGCCAAAACGTACCAGTTCCCTTGCTTCTTCGAGCTGTTTCTCAACATTTGCAACCATCTGCTTCTTCTCATCTGAAACAGAATTATGAAAATACCAATAAAAATGTGCTCTTGCCATGAAAGAAAAATATACCATTTCTAAAGCTTATACATGTATCAGTTAAAACTGTCTCAAGGGATTTATTCTGTGTGACATCATCAAGCACTGTGATACCCATGCTAGTAATAAAAAAAATAAATAAATAAAGGGAGTCTGGAGAATTCTGGAAGTCTTCTGCTTTGTTATCCAGCATTTTTTAGTTAGGAAAGCAAGGAAAGTAGTTACAGCTGCTCCAGGTGTAGGAGTTATGCCTCAGCAGGTGCTTGCTGGGTATGTACAAATGCATTGAGAAGGCACATATGCCAAACAGAAACATAAAAAACTGGTTTAAGAACAAAGGCTTATTTTATTTATTTGCAAAATATGAGATGCATAAAATCAAGCATCACACTTATAATGAATCCAGGCACTGAAGAAAAATGAGGTTTCTATTTCCCTGCTCCTATGCTGGGTCTAGAACAATTTCTTTTACTTCAACAAAACCAGAATTAAATGCCACGGGAACTACAAGAAAACCACTGTCTTCTAGTAGCAGTTAAAATGTAAATTAGTAATTAAAGATGAAATTTTTTAAAAATTAAAATCAGTTATAAGCTATATGTAGCAATCATCATCTGCCAGGTTCCCCAACAAGTCTATATCCCAGCTATAGAGAGCACGTCTGACTTTCGACCTGTCTGACTTTTGACCACCCATTCTCAGAGATGGCAGAGAATCCAGTATGAACTGAGGTTCAGTGTCATATCTGCCTAATATTCCAGTTCCTTGACCACTTGCTTTGTTGCAGCATGAAAGGCAACTTTCTGAGAAATATTCAGTCACTGCATAATAAAAAATCCTTACACTGCTCAATTACTGTGTGAAATTCAGGGGCTTCAATAAACCATTTGCACTGCCTTTCACATCGCCTTGTGCTCCTCTCATGGCCACATCTTCCATCTTTCAGACTATAAATCCATTCATTGTCTCAGTGAAGTTAATAACAAAACTCTGAACATACAACCCTTCATACCACTGTTCGTTTGAAACCAAGAGCATCATGAGACATCTATGCTGGTGGTTTGCCTGATGAAACAGATAATAAGTGAATTGCACAAAATTATCTCCAGTCAGTGCTCCTCAGAGATCATGATGGAGAAGTCTCGTTGGTACAAGGGACTTCATTGTCTATCTTCAGACTTCATAGTTTTCTTTTTTAGCCTGAATTCCTTTGCTGCTCTTCCACACCACCTCTTTGTAACCTAGAATTGACACATTAAAGACCAAAAGGGACTACCTGATGATCTCCTTTGATTCTCTGCATGCCACAAGCCACTTGAATTTCAAGAGGGACCTACTTTATTAAATGTATATGATTTATTATATCGCTTCTCACAGGCTGAAATGCTTTATTTTTAAACAAACTTAGTGTCATAAGCATCCCCATCAGGGGATGCTGAAGTAGCAACCAAAACCAGAATTTCTGCCACATAAAGTAAAAGATGCCCTTAAACCAACCTTCCTTAAAAGCAACAGAACTACTTCTGAAAGAACTATATTGCTACAGGTTTTGGTACAGTTTTAAGCATGCCCATCTTAAGCACATCATGTTTCAGCTGAGTCCTCCCACTACCATTCCACAGTATTTTCTCATTTACCTAAGATAATCTACACTCTCATTTAAGGACATGTAAACATCATGATATGTCCTTCAGTTATATACACTGGAGCTCTGCCTGCAGAAAGACTCAGGTTCAGGATCATCTTTGCACCTTTAAGATAATGCAGAGATCTTTGCAAACCAGCTGCCTTCTGAGGATACACCATCCCGCACATGGCAGATTCACAAGAACAAATCATAGTCATTGAGTCATCAGCCAAGAAGCTGCTACAGTATTGTGGGTAGTTCATTTATCGTCCAAAAATAAAGACTATAGTCTGAGGTCCTTCCCTAGGGGAAAATTCCCTTCAGAGAAGCCCAAGTTCTCAAGCATGTGTTATAGCCAACTGGAGAGGCAGCAAAGACTCCTTCTCAGATTGGGCTGGATAAGCAAGTGGTCCAGTGTTGGTGAGGTTCATGTAAAGTTGAGACTCTCTCAGGCTCTGACTCTGCTATATCCTATATGAACAAATGAAGGTGTTCCTGTGTGGCAGCAGTAAGAACTGAAAACACCATGTCTGGCAAAACACAGCTAGAATAAAATCTTAAAGAAATCTGAAGCCCTCTAGAGTAAAGGGAACTGCAGTGACACAAGTGCGAAGGAAGCACTTGAATCTCCCCACAAATGAAGTTAAAGCTCACCTCTAAGTCCTCCCAAACAAGAGTTTCCCTTAATCTTGAAAGGGGCCCAGAATTTCATCAAGTAATCCTCTCTACAAAGCTGAAGCCATGAGAAAAACAGCACTTCTCTTGCAAATCTGGAATTCACACTGCCACACCAAGTGGATTCTACTACAGCAGGTGTAGAAAATGCTTATTTCTGTGCAGCATTTTCAGTTCTCTGCTAGCAGTGTCTTTCTTTTCATTCCCTACCAGGTTCTCATAGTGGCACCCAAGCCAGAAAATGTAATGGTTAGTGATTTATCTTGTAACGTAACTAAACCTAAAAGAAAAGAGAATTCACCACTTGTTTGACCACACATTTCAGTTCTCCTACCCAGCATCCCAAAACACCTCTGTTGTTTCCTTCATTTGGAAGTGGACAAGATGATGATGGACAAAATGAAAAACAATGTAAGATATAAACACACAGTATCATTTTATTGAAGTTATTTCAAACTATTTATTTAAAACTATATCAGCAGAAAATAAGATTACTATAGCAATTTCAGTATTTCCCTGAATTTTACTGGATTACAATTTCCATACACATTAAGTAACCTGAAATTTAGGGATATAAAGTTGGAAGTTCTGGATATTTTGTGCTGTACAAAGTCTGTGTGTACCTGTGATTACAAGAACTGCCTGGCATTCAGTGACCAGTAAGATCTTACCTACCCACTGAGACACTAAGCTACAGACCTTTGACAGGGAAACATTAGTGCACAAGGAGGTCTGGCTGAATGAAACTGCTCCCATAAAATTGGAGAGGTATTCAAATGATCTTCAATGGTTTAGTTAATTAAACTTTAACCCAACTCCAGAGTTGCATTTTAACAATGTCTCAGATTTATCAATCATCCAGATGGTGACCAGAGCAACTGCTTGGGAGCGAGGCCTACTAACAACAGGCCTTTTTCCTTCAAATACAGATGGGTGAGCAGGCATATGGCAACATCCTGGCACTGCAGCTTTGGAGCAGTATCTTCACAGATTTCCAGGAAAGCAGCTGAACTTGTTGCAACTCTTCATCTTCTAGGGCCCACAATACCATGTAGTCCTCAGAGCAAGAAAGGGTGACAGGATCCTGGAGGATCCAGGTCAATTTGATAAGGAAAAGCAAGCTCACCAAAGTATAAGTATCACCCACTTGGTTTCACTTTCCTTTATGTATCCACATAAAATCCTGGTGGGAGTATGCTGCCTGGAGACACTTGCCTGCAGACTGCCACTACCTCTAGGCCTGTTGTTGATAATCAGCAACAGAAGCATGAAATGCTATAACACCAGCAATCAGGAACCACTTGCTGAAATGGTTCTCAAACCATTTAGTTCCAGTTTTACTGCCACAGTTAAGCTAAGGAAACAACTTATTTCACAGTCAGAATCCCCATTGAAAGAAGGGCACAATATCCACAGAATGACTTGCTCAGAGAGTGCAGGTGAGGTCAGAGGGAGTCACTCAGAGTAAGAGATGCTTGCCACTAATCTAGTAGACCAGGACAAACAAGTTATTAACCAATTAAAGATCCTCATATTACTAACTGTATTACTCCACCATGTCTTCGCAGTTTTCAATCTGCCTACTTGATCATTTCCTTAAATACACTTCCATCATATGAAATGAAAAGGGCTTTTTATAAAATTTTTTCTTAATTCAGAATTGATAATATCCATTAAAGAAAATAAAAAATAATGCTCCATCAAATATATCTAAATTTAAAATACAATTTGTGTAGCTTGTATAATTCAACTGGACAAATTGACAAAATATGGATAAAGACTGTAAACAAAAGTGGTTTTTTTCATCCAGGTAAGGACTGAAAACAAAGAAATCCATTCTGTGTTTGTCCACAAGGTTGTATCACTTTCATAAAAAAACCAAGCTTTTACTATATTTTCCTCATTTTTTTCAGCCTTGCCCTTGCGTTAGTCACTCTTTTGTCTCCCAAAATACAGCAGTTACAGAACGGCAGAAAACTGCCTACAAGTGCAGAAAGATAACACAGCCCTGGTCTGATCTCACAACCAATGAAGAGATTAAAAAAATCTGGACCAAGACAGAGTAGTCTCATTTATTCTTTTTATTAGCACACGCTGAGGAAGAAACTGAGTAACAAAGGGCTTCAGTTCATAGACAGCTTGCAAATTTTGCTACACTGTCTGAGGTAGTTTGCATATTCACCACTGCCAGAAGTTACTGACCAACAGCAGAGACAAACGGAACAATAATTGGTTTCTCTCTTTGGGTTATAAAACTGGTTTCAAGAGGCACAACATAATGAGCAAGACCTGAAATGGTGACTGAAAACTCTAGTACAGGGCTACAACAGAAGATTAAATGGACTTTCTTCAGCTAAATCTCTGAGACTGAAATACACTGCTTTGATCGCCCAGTAGAAAATGGTATTGAGTATAAGAAGAATGACAGCACTCAGGTCTAAAACCATCACAATCCTCAGGCTACTGTGCTGGGAAAAGACTAAGTATCACCATTTGTGCTGATAAAACTCTCTTTCAGATCAAGCAATCAAAATTTATAAAAATTTTTGGTCAAATCACAAGACAGATGTTTCTCTGAAACACTATGAAGCATTAATAAAACACATCAGCCAACAATCTTCATTCTTCAAAGACCTGCAACAGCATCACAGAAAGTATATTTAAAAGCCATTTCTCTATTTAGAACACTTTCTTTAATTCTCCACATGATGTTTGCCTGAACAGAAGACATTTT